AGAGAGAGAGAGTACGAAGAGGAGGAATGAGAGAGAAAGAGAGAAAAGTTATACTATTTTTTGTGAACGTTTTTTCTTAGTTTTCTCATGCAAGCATGGTGGACGAGGGTGGTTGCCGATCGATTCGATTGTCCTGGATTGAAATCGTCATCGATTGATTTTTTGTCATTCTTCGCCATCGTTGACCGGACGAGTCTTTTGAAATCTCTCGCGATTCTTTAACATAAATGTTATAGCTTGATTGAGCAACGATCCTATCAACAAGATCGTCGAAGGATAGTGGAAAGTTAGTATACATCACTATTTCCTTTGAAGAAGCGATAACGGGATTAGTAGAGATCTCTATTAAAAACAAGACGTACGGCCATTTGCACTTATAATTAGCCTTTAATTAGATAATAAATTAATCAGGATTGAAGATACGTAATGTTATGCGAAGGGCATAATAAAGTAAGCTTATTTAGCGATAGTTAAAAATTTATACGACAAAATTCTTTATCCTTAGATAAATTAGGTAATAAGTCCTTTAAGACTCTCGAGACCAGTACGCAAACGTCGAATGGCCATGGATCAATGGCGTCGAATGGCGTCGAGGGATCGAGAGAAAACGGAAAAAGATCAACGGCGATCTAAGGACGAGATCCAGGATGATGATCGACGGTGAGGTGAAGGGCAGGGCGCCTGGTATTAGTACACATTAGTTTCTTGGCTAGGTGGCGCCCAATTAGTTGTTGGAATTTTATAGTCTAGGTGATAATTCTCGATATAGTTCAATATTGTCGAGTTTTTTATTAGTTGAAGATGACGAGGAAAATGCGAGAAATATTGAGGAAAGCCTGAGTGAATTCACTCTCCGTAACTGTCGACCGAGTGACAAATTGGCTATTTATACGATTGTTTAGAAAATATAGATATTCTAGAAAATATAGATATTCTATATTGATCTGTGAAAAAAGCGTTTTATATAGATATATATGTTAAGAAGATTCAATGTTTAATTCAATCGAAAACACGCGATATTTTTGCTCGTTGCGGAAATACAGTGCCCGTAGAATTTCAATGGGAATTTAATATCGTAGTCGAAATCCTCTCGTTGAAATATCGGGACGATTTAGAACGAGAGTAGTCCGCGTTGAAAATCGTGATATTCGTTTTGTGCCGGCGATGAAATTTTCCTGGGAATATGAGACTTTGCGATTTTGCGGCGCGCGTTAAACATTAATTATTGAAACGGTAATATCGCTTAAAACTGCCATCGCTAAATCGATAAAACATTAGCGCGGATGTGCACGCCTGTTCCGTTCGTTTATTTTAGCGTGTCCTTAATGCGGGCTTATGCCGATCGTAAATCTCGGCTTGCTAATTCGGCGTTTCTCCGTCGAAACGGACGTTATTTTAATTGATTTATATGGAAATTGAGGGTGTCAACGCACAACTGCGATCGCAAAGGGAAATAATTAAAGGAAAAAATGTCGCTTACGTTAAATTACACGTAGAAATAAATAAATTGCGAGTTTTTGAGTAAAATAAGATAAATAATGTTGGCTAATAGAAATATATATAAATCCGCGAGCGGATTGTTAAATACAGTATTGATTAATAAAAATATTTGTGAAATTGTAGTGACACCAAAATTTGATAACGATATCGTATCTCGTTTCTCTCATTAATGGTGTACTATTGATTCAGAAATTTTTAAAAATTTTAATACAAATTTAATAAATTACGAGGAGATTTTTGTTGAAATCTTGTCTTTTTTAAAAAGAATAAAAAATATTTAATCAGCAAAAGAATGATATTTAGTATTGTTTGTATAAGACATTCTTTTGTTTCATATAAATGATTCTCTGAAGAGTCTCATATACCTATTTCCAACGACGATTTATAGTAATTTGGGATTTGTCGTTCAGGGATAGCTTCAGGCTTTCCTTGTTTCTCAATTCGTCCTTGTCATCGATATATGATTAGTCGCGACGATTTCGAGTTATTATTAATGTCTGTGCGAAGTGTTGGAATACTTCCGGCAACTGTCCAGTAGTGGATTCTCACCTAGAAACTAGAATGATCGTCCCTCGGCGGAGCTGGATGAACGAAATGTTTTCAAGTTAATTCGACAAATCTCTAATTTTGTTCTTTTCGATTACATGATAGAAAGAAATAAATAAAATTTAGATGACAATGATAATCGATCATGAAAGTACGACAATGCCAAGAGGCAGTAAAACATTTCGCTCAGCTCCGACGACGTTCCTCGTGAAAACTTTCAGAACGAGTACGATATTCCTTCCACCCGTCGCAGGAGGCGAGAGATTCTACGAGATATTCTCTTCGAAAGTTTTCCGTTCGATAGGGACGATGGGGTGCATCACGAACGACCGATCGGTAAATAGGAAAATTGGATAGAAAGAAAGGGAGAGAGAAAGAGAAAGAGAGAGGGAGAGAGAAAGAGAGACGCATCTTCTTGGCAGGGTCGTTGTTTACGACATGTGAGTAACAGACGAGAACTTTATCTATATATTTGCCACGGTATTTAATATGTGAATAAGTACATCTATTAAATATATAACATTGACTATAATATAGTATATATATATATATATATATATATATATATATATATATATAAATATGTATTTGCAATAATATGTAATGTCAGTTTATTGATTTAATATTTATCGAGAATTTTATATTCCGTTTCATATAAATATTAAAGTGATTTTTGCATATATAATAAGATATTATATACAGAAATAGTTGAAATAATAAAACTTAATAAACTTTATAAATTCTTCATGGTCGCAAATAAACTAAGAATTGAAATACTTGATGCGTTAATTATACATAAAACTAATCCAATAGCGATTTTTAATTTTTCGAGTAAACTGATCCGAGAACAAAATGAGCAATCGCGCGCACGTGTTTTCGCATACGGTAAATCTGCTAATTTCAGATTTTCATCACTGCGAGATCGCGCAAACACGAGATCGCATAGTTCGTTTTTGTGTAAAACGATGGTACATACACCGTCTTATGAATTACGTTACGGAAATGGAAGTGAATTATGAATTGAATATCCGAGAGGAAAATCAGAATTTAGATTGCAAACTTGAATCGCATAATTATGTTGCCCTTTTACGAAGAAAATTATTTAAATTTTAGAAATTGTATGTGTAAAACAAAATTTACATTTGTCCGATATATCTCATACATGAAATAATTTAGCTAGATTGGCGCGCTTCATACCAATGATTTTAATCATAATTATTATTGAACTGTTGATTTAATAATGTCGAATTACATAATAGCTTGAAATTGGTAGTAACCGATACAAAAAACTGTTGCATAAATATTTGCACGAGAGTATTTAGAAATTTATTTATCACACTCGAGTATCATAACAATTACATGCGGATGAATAATTATTATTAAAATTTTATGAAGAGAACAAAAGTATGATGTGTATTTTGATTGAGTTTTAATAATACATGAAAGTAAATATGATTCTCACAGAAGTGTTTTAATAGCAAATTAATTTAATTTTTGGATTTTGTATCGCATAAGTGAAACGCGTGTTTGTACAGAACTTTTTTCCTCCACACATATATCATACTGCTTTTCTATAAGTTCGGTCATTTATTAAGCGATGTCTTAACGGGTTGAAAAGCCAGTCCTCATGTCCTCATGTCATTTATTAAGCGATGTCTTAACGGGTTGAAAAGCCATCCTCAACCGACGAGAAGGCAGCTGTCCTGATATAAATAAATTTTCAGAGAGGCAAATGTCAGGTATGTGAAAGCTGCGACGGAAATTTCGGAATGGCGAAAACTGCTAGCTCTTTTTGTTAACCTACCCTTTCGACGACGTTTGCCCGCTCGGAATTACCATTCAGGAATACATTGAAACATAGACTCCGTCCGCTTCGTATCGTCGAATTCCACATGCATACCTGATTTTCTAGTAGAGTTCTACTCGATATATTGTCTACCATTTAAATGATGCTCGAATAATACAGGGTCCGCTAGCAGGGTCCGCAGCACAAGCATACAAAGCGAGCCGATTTTTCTTGCGAGAAAAGTTTATTGAAGCGTGCGTTTTTGCGATTTACTTTGAACTATTTTCAAAGAGTTCTTGCTCACACAAGAATTATATAAGTGAATAAAACCCGGAATTCGAATCGAACGGGGAGAGGAAAATATATAAATTAGGCGTTATCTGCAAATGTGTCTAGGGGAAACAATTTTTTGCTTTTTACGAGATTTCGTTCAGTTCGTTTTAGATCAGAAGAGAATTAGATAAGGAAAAAATTAGAAAGTCTCCATATTTCTTGCGTCTCGCGCGTCTCGAACCTTTTATTCCAGGCAGCGGAAGGAATCGAAAATCGAATTTCACTAGCACTAGCGGAATTTTATTTGCGATCTTAAAGCGGATGGCTTCGGTGCCAAGTTACAGATCGTGGTAAACAAC